AGTATTATCGGCTAAATGACTAGGTACTAATTGGCACACACAGTCACGGCTGCAATCCAGACAGTTGTTCGACGTCGCATTTCGTGCTGAGCTGAGACAGGATCCAGCATCAAAAGCTTCCTCTGGCTTCGCATCGAGATACATTACGTGGCAAAGCCGAGTTGAGCACGAGTCGAGGAAATCATCCGGTAAGACGGCACGAATCGGTGCCGCAGAGGTGCGTGCTCTTGAGCCCAGTTTCCCCGATAGGAAGCACCAGGGGCGTCGAACTTGCCTTGGGCGGACAAGTTATCAGCATGACTCGACATGATGACATGGTACGGATATTACAACGAGCATACTCTGGCTGATGTTGCAGCTTCTCGCACAAGCACTCATGATCGTCATGATACTCCAGTCTCTATCGGGTGTGGAGCGCTAAGCTCTAATTCAAATTCAAATTCAAATTCCATCCACGAGATGCTCTTCGTTTCCCGAGGTGCCTGCACGCCCAGCTCAGGCGCATTGGACCTCCTCACAGTGGGGTAGATGCCCGACTATAGGCCCATTCGGGACTGGACCAGGCCTACCTCAGCTGCAATGCCTTGGCTACCCTTCCAGCTGTCACAAGACCCCTGGAGGCTGGCTATGGCAGGACCGGGCCCACTAATATGAGTAAGTTGGGCACATGGCCAGTTCCTGCCCTCCCCTGTCTGCCTGGCCTGCCACGCCCTTCACAGCAAGAAGAGTGTTGCAGCCAGCTTGCCGATTAATTAAGGTACCAGGTAGTAGTACGGAGTACATGCACGCGAGACACTGGCATCGGTATCTGACTTCCGCATGTCGAAGAGCGAGGAGAAGCGGCTGCAATTCCCACCATATCCTGTTCTAGCAGCCAAGATCCCGGGAATATGCATCCTCTCTGGCGACTTGGCCCGTGATCAGGTCCCAAAGGGGCAACAAGGCCAAAGCTTGTTGGGCTCGTTACTATAAGGGGACTTGGGTATCCCAGTCCAGTCGTCTGGTCTGGATCACTATCGGGTATGTGAAGCTCAGAACCCCACCCGTCGCTTGCAAATTGGATCATCTGGCGCTACAAGCGCTTCCACTTGCTTCACTTTACCTCAGGTTGCTACTCAGCCTCAGATCACTATTCCCTACCACTCACCTTCTCCTAGACCTGGTCTTTTGCGAGGCGCCCCTGGGAGCCCGGATCAGATCTGAGCAGAAACTAAAGAAGAGGCTAGAGCGCTAGGCCCGGGCCCGCATTGCTCTTGCCTCCCGGAGTACAATTTCACCTCCCTTCTTCGACTCCTCTTACTTTCGCACCTTGGCCTCTTCCCATTCACTCCGTCCGCAGCGAAGCGCAGTCACCCGCATATCCTCGTCGTTCGTCGTGCGGGCGATAGGAACCTTTGACGTAGCTGCCCGGACGGCCATCTTCGAGACTCGAGTCTGAGGCTCCGTGCGCTCACCCTATTCGCCAGCACCGTTCAGCGCCAGCACCTGGGCCTTTGTGCCGACCTACAGGGTGCCTGCAGCTTTCGCCACGACACAGCCAACCTGTCGCTGCAGCGGCTGCTACCGCCAGCTCCCTTCGCCTATCAACTTCCTTGTCTCTTCGCATTGTGTGATCAGAGTCAAATATCTCAAATTTTGGGACAGACAACAGGCACACTGTGGGTGAAGATTCTTCACGTCTACCATTCGCCTCTGAGACCATAACCATCCTCAACTTGCCTCCTGCAAATTCGAAAAGACGTGCCTCGGCATTCCAGTGTCCTCGATTTCCCGACTTTTCTCACTATATATCACATACGTATATGCCGCCCAGACACCCGGAATTCCACATGGCATATTTCCGAATCTCGTCTTTACTACCGTCGGCTGCTGCTCGCGGTTATTGCGAACTCTACTGACCCGGTAAATTTTACAACTGCGCGCTTGAGACCACAGCCCAGCGGATCGCATGACCTGACTCGACTCGACCGCGGCAGCGAATCAGCTACATTTCGGCCCTTCCGTGTCCTGGACTGGTTCCTTCGGCACAGCACTTACATACCGGTACCCTGTCTGATGCAGCTCGGGTTGTCGAATCGGCTTCGCAACAAACACGTGCAGCTCAATTCCCCCAACAGCGGCAGCAGTGACTAGCGCCGGGATTGGCCTTTCGAGACTGACCTCTGGCTGCTGTCGTTTCAGCTCCTGTTCTATTGCGGCTTTTGCTGCGCATTGCATCCAGATAGTTATAGACTGCAGCTGGCTACTTCTGGGGATGCAAGTATGAGCTGGAGATTTTGAGCAACGCCAGGAAGTCTGTTGCCGAACCCTTGACACGATCATATGTGAAGGCTTCTTCGCACTTGGGCAACGGATATCGGTCGACACATGTTCTACACAATGGACTCCCATACACCCATGATATTGCCCAAGGGCTTTGTCAAAAATCATGAAGATGTGTACAACAAAGTCGCTGCTATGGAACTTCTGGCTCCGGAACAAGCCTGGCAGTTTTGGCACGGTACGCCTCATCCTCCACGTCCTCTGAGGAACATGCCGCTAAACCTCTGCAGATTACACAGTGACTTCTAAAGCTCTCAAAGACCCGACTGCCCGAAGACTGGAAAACTTTTGGTGGCATGTTGTCGGGAGTGACCGCATACATCTGAGCGGGAGGACCTTGGCGAGGATCTTCAAGGAAATCTCACTTGGACCAACCTTTGTGCCGCTCAAGGGACCGCCTAACCGCTGGGAGGGCAACAGTATGGTGAGAACAATACACAGTCGACGTGCTGGCATTTCTAACGGTCATAGGCTGCAATTCCCGAGAAGTACATCCAGCAGGCCATGGAAATCCTCGCCAGAGAGCAGCAACAAGGAATGACTCAACCACAGAGTGAAGCAGCTCTCAACAACGAGAATGCACGCAATGGTCTGAGGAACGTAGGCTCAAGTGCCGCCAAGCCCGCACCAGCCCACCCCATTCTGAAGAAGCCTAGAGGACCTTCAACATCTGGACCACGACCGACTGCCCGTTTCGTTTCGCCCGACGTATCCGAACTCGACGATGGACTCGCAGAGGATATCCCGTCGTCAGGTAGTACCGTGACGCCAGGAATCGAAATGCGCCAGAGCATTGCTTCACCTCCAAAGAAAAAGGGAGGGACCAGGAAATTCGTTGCGTCAAAGGCTGCGTCCAAACGACGACCCGTGCTGCCAAGGAAGAATAGCTCGCAGTCATCAGCGCACGGCGAGCAGTCTACAGCCAAAATTGGCAACACATCGTCTAGCAGCTCCCGAAGCTCGGGCACACCTCAGCGTCCTATATCTCCCCAGAGAGAAGCGCCGGTGCTGCAGCCGCATATCAAACAGAATGCGGCACCTGGGCCCAGCGAGAAAGCATTGGGCAAGCGCCCCGCGCTTCAGAGAGACGAGTCGTCGCACATACCACAGAAAGAGAAGACCTTGGAGTCCTCACAACCAACCACAGTGCAGCGTGCGCCTGAGCCTAAAGCATTGGGCAACGGCCCGGGATCCGGTTCTGGCCCGCAACAGGATGAGCATTTCAGCCTCGGCAAACTTGACAACGGAGCTACATTGGAGTTCACCGATCCCCGGCGACTTCGAGAGCTGGTCGCTGAAGTCAAAAACACAACGTTGCCGCGAAGCATGAAGACCATTCCAAACTATCCGCCGACGAGCTTCTCGCCAGCTAGCCAGAGCAGCCAGGCCACTCGTCCGCAGTCGCTCATCAATCTGACAGCTCACACAGGCTCATCCACTAGAGCTCTTAGCCCTTCGATGGACGTTCCGAGCCCACAACCTTCCGAGGCTCAGTCCGATGCTGGCTCGGTACCCATGGGCCAGTCGCGGTCACACAGCGGTTACGTCAATCGCAAAGGCAGCGCCAGCTCTGTTGGGATCAACCGTGGTCTGTTTACTGGAGCGACGACGTCGACTTCCAACATGGCGGCACAGGGAGTGATTATTGACCAGGGCGGTAGTGTCAGCTCTGTGGCATCGACATTCTACGACAACCATGGCCGTGACCTCTCACCTTCCAGCGGTGGGTCCGCCTCTTCTTCGGTCCTGAACCCGTACTTCACGCCCACGCAGCCGAGCACATCGGCAAGTGTGCCCATGGCCAGGACAAAGAGCCATCTCGCTCTTTTGCTGGAGCGAGAGCACGAGAAGGACAGGGACAATGAGACCCGAACAAAGAAGCGCGGCTCAAGGACCTAGTTAGTCTCCTTCTGCTCGCGACACTGGGTGTCAGTATGTACGTTCCCGACTTGGATCATCCGTGCGTGCGACGATTTCCGTGCGTGCGACGATTTCCGTGCGTGCGACGATTTCCGTTCATTGTACAGATAGTAGCGTTCAACTCGGCATTTGAGCTTGGCGCTGTTGGCGGACAAAAAGGGGGCTTGGCTGGCGTTCTTTTGCATATCGGCGTTTTACTTACATGAGCAATTTTCGCGAGCGAGCGATATCTCTGCAATTCACATTTCCACATTTACACCCAATACCGAAGAATCAGGAGCAGGCCAGCGGCCAGTCGGGAGGGGGACAAAGAGTGCTCCTCTCGGAACGCTTCTTGGTATTAATAGATTAATTACCGCACTACTCACGTGAGCGTGATATCGTATCGATCTATTTCCACACCTGTTGGCCATGTCGTCTCGTGTTCCATTCATCCAGTCAGTCCAGTCCAGTCCAGACAAGGATATCTCCTCCCAGTATGCGTGCATGTCTCTGGCTCTATTTTCCCCCTTTGAACCATGCCCAGTCCAACAAAGCCGCTCTCCCAGATGATGATAGGAAAAATGGGAGGTAAAAAAAAATTGGTATAATGAGTGAATAAGAGACGCTATTCAGCAACGCATATTCTTCACGCGTTCTCCCGGAGCACCATAATGTCTTTCCGCATGAGGATAGATATACAACAAAGAATTGAAAACTGAAAAGAGCGAGAGAAAAAGACAATGAGAGGGCGGAGGAACCGCTCAGCCGCAGCTACACTAGTCGTGAAGGCCGAAAATCTTCCGCAGCTTGCCAAACTTCTTCTTTCTGCCTTCCTCTGGGAAGGTAGTGGTTGTCGCCTCCGAAACCACGGGGCTCGAGGCCAAAGCAGCCGAATGGCTGGCGCCAGCAGCAGCGTTGCTGCCAGGGGCGCCCTGGTGGGATACGCTTCGTCTCTTCAGGAAGCCCATCTTGAGGCCGCCGGAAGCTGGGCCTGCGGAAGTGGAGGGACGCTGGGGTGCAGCTGTGACATTGTCGTCGGGCAACGGCCAGCTGGGCTGGTTCTTCTGCAAACGACCACTGTCATTGCGGACAATGTTGAGCTCGTCTTGGTTGCGCTCGAGGCGCGTATCCCGACGAGCCGCGCTCTCGCTGAGGTCTCGGGTAATCATGTTCGAGCTGTCCTTCTTGCGACGGAGGATGTTGGACATGAAGCTTCCCCTGCGTTGGTGGGCCGGTCTTTGTCCCAGACCATCCGCAGCTATGTAGCCCGGGCTGGCAGGTGGAGGGAAGCTCCCTCGGCCAGAACGGCTCCTTTGCAGCGTACCAGCCGGGCGGTCGTTGACAGCACCGATGGTGTGACGCTTGGGCTGAACGATCTCATCATCGCTGTCAGGTAGATCAGGCGAAGGGGCGCGAGCAGGCTTCGATGGGAAGCCTGAGGCTACTGCAGCCGCGGACTTGGCGCCGTTGGTGGAGCGCATCGATTTAAAGGAGAGACCACGTTGGGGCGGAGGAAGGGCAGCGTCCTCTTCGTCGCTAGAATAATGACGTGTCCGCCGACTCGCAAAGCGACTACCAACACCGCTCTCCTCTTCGTCGCTCGACTCGGCAAAACGGCTGCCACCCTTGTTCTTCTTGCCAAAGGACGAGAGTTTTGTCTGGACTTCTTTTGGCTGACTGTTGGCAAGGCGCATAGAAGTACGCATGCGGCTTCCGCCCATTGGCGCTTGGGCTGGTGGCGGGTTGAGGCTGCGGCGGCCAAAAGTCGACCCTGTGGGGGATAAAGACCGGATGCTGAAGCGACTGCTGCCCCGCGTGGGCTCGGGAGACACTGCAGGCTCAGGCGCGGTCCTCATGGAGCTCCTGAAGCCAAAGCCCTGGTTCGCAGGCCGAGCACGTCTGAAGCTGCTCTCGCTCGAGTCCGAGCCACGTCTGCGCAGAGTCGGTGCAACCCCAGCAGTCGAAGGGCCTGCAGATGACGATGGATGTGATTCCGTGGAATGCGTTCTGCGGTTAGCCAATGTGTTCCTGGCCACTTCGGACGACAGAGCAGGCTGATACGAAGCAGGACGAGCGCTGCTTGCCCGCGCATGTGCTGGTTCGCGAGCTCCAGCAGAGGCGCCACCGTTCGCGCGCATGGTCGTGCGCATACTCCCGTTGATCTGAGGGCCGCGCGCCACATCTGTTGGGGACGACCGCTCACCACGCATGGACTTCTTAAGCTTCGGCACGGGGGCTTCCGCCAAGGCGGGAGCAGGCGCATCCGCTGCTGGTTGCTGGGAAGCATCCTCGTGAGCCCAGCTCGTTCCTGGCATAATCTGATAAATCCTGTCGGGGTTGTGAGAGCTCGCGATGCTCGATGTGGACACGGGGCGGTCGGTTGATCGCCTCTTGTTCTTCTTGGGCTTTGCTGCCGATTCCTGGTCCGCATCCTCACCAGCCTCTTCCAGTGCCTCCTTTTCAAGCTGCCGGCGCTTGTCTACAGAGAGACTGCGCCAATAAGTCTTTGCATTCTCCCAATCGTCTTGTGTGGCGGGAGGTTCTTGGCCGCTAGCTTCCGTCTCGACGTCCGTGGCAGCGGGGCGCGTGCTTTCTTGAGACTTCCTCTTCGTCTTTTGATACAGTCTCGAGACTTGGGAGTCGGCCGGAGCAGTCAGAACGGCATCCAAGGACATGAACCCGCCATCTTCAACATCAGAGATGTCCTCGTAAGCGTCACTGTAGATGCTGCTGTTGTCGGTTGATTCTTCCTCTTCGATTATATCATTCATGACCACATTCGACCTAGTCGGTGTTGACGGCGCCGGTTCAATGGACTCTGAGGCTGCCGGGACAGTAATGGGCGATACAGCTGTGGTAACAGGGGCGGTAGGAGCTTGCGGCTCCTCCCGAGTGTCAACAGCTTCTGACTTGGGGACAGCCGTTGTCTCAACGTCGTCGGGAAATCCACCAGGCACGTCAAAGTACTCTGCCTCAGGAGAGATTTCGCCAGAATCCCGAGCAGCAGGGCTTGGTCCGCTGATAGAGATGGAGGGAATGTCTCCGTCGGCTTTTGCGTCCTCTGCCGTTGCATGCACAGCGTTGCCGGTGGTATGCTCATCAGGCTTTGCGCCAAATGCAGGCTCAGACACTGTCGAGCTTGGAACCTCGCCAGCTTCAGCAGCTTTCTCCAGCTCCTTCTGGTTCGCCACCACGACTGTCTCTGGAACTTGCTGCGACACCTCTGTAGTGTCTGTGGCGTTTGTATGATCCACCTCGTCGTCGTCCGTGTCCATGAAGCTGCTGCTGTCGTATCCGGACCCCTCAACAGATGTCACCACGGGCGGCAAAGGCTCCCTGGCTCGCGAAATGTTTGCCTCGTTCCTAGTCGGCGATTCTGACGCAAGCACGAAGCCAATGGCAGGGTCATTAGAATAGCCAACGGTCTCAGATTCCGCTTCAGGCGATGCCCTAGGGAGTGGCGACGGTGCGGGAGATGGAGAGAACGCTCGCTCGCCAGGTCGAACGAGCGGGCGCTCATTCGCGTCGGCCTCCCTAGGCTTCTTCTCGCGAACGCTTCCGAACAATGGTAAAGCAGGTCTCGGGCCCATAGTCTCGTCCTCGTCGAGCTTGGAAGCTTCTTTCTTATGTCGGTTCAAGATGCTATGCCACGTCTTCTTGGTCGCCTGTTGCGGGCTCGGTACAATGGGAGAATCGACCTCTGGAGGTTCTGCCGACTCCCCAACGACAACATTGCTCTCATCATTGAAGCTGACCCTGAAGCTCTTCCTACGACTAACCTCATCATTCGGGTCGCCGCCATGCAATGCCTCCGAGACCTCCGATCCATCGTCGGACGGGGAAGCGCCCCTTGCATTGCTAGTGTTCTTCAGCGCTGATTTGCGAGGCGATAACGATCGGGGCGGCGGTTCATGTCTGACGAGCAATTGATTGGCAGTGGGAGCAAAATGAGCAGATCTAGCCGGGCTACGTGCAGGACTTTCTGACTGCACCCGTACTCGTTGGACGCTTTCTCTCTTCGGATCGCTGGCGAATTTCTCGCCTCTCGGATCAGCTGATACGTGGACATCCGCGACCGCTTTCCCAGGCTGGGGTTGTGCGTTGTTGACAGCGGCCAGCGCGGCTTGTGGTGCTGGATGTGATCGCACAGGGACAGCATCGACCGCCGCGTTTTCGAGCTCAGTGTTCCTCACTTCGCGGGGCTGCTCGGCAACTACACGCTGGGGGGTAGCTGGGACCGCCGCAGAAACGGGCTGCATTTGCGCCTCGGGTTCAACCAAGGTCTCCTCCCTAGATAAGCTAGCCTTTGCATGTTGATTTGGTGTTTGTGCAGATCGTACCACCGTTTGCGGCTGCGACCCAGCCCTCTGTCGCTGCGCTGGTGGTGTTGGGTCTCGCGATGCTGTACCACGTGGCGAAGGCGACTCAACAGCGGACCCCCTAATCCGGCTAATTGTACCCTTTGCCAGATGTGAGCCGCTCCTTGATACGCCGGATTTGCTGGCCTTGACCGGCTTGTCGGGCGAGGGGCGCGCGCTCTGCGACCTGTGCAGCAGCTCGGCCTTGGGAACCATTCGTCGTGAATTTGCGTCGTACACCATCTGCTTTCCCGTGGGTGACGGCGAAGGGGACTCCATGCGCGATCGTGGATACGAAAAGTTGATGGACGGGCTTATGCTCCCATCATCACCATCGTCAGCCGGAGTGTACTCCAGCACCTGCTGCGAGTGCCGCGCACTGGCATTGGCTCGATTGGCAGGGGCTGAAAACCAAGACCCCTGGCTGTTGCCATCTTGCGCTTTCTGGCTGGCAGTTCGGAATGGTTGGGTTTGGATGGTCAGGCCGGCGGGATTGTGCGAGCTCGCCGGTCGCTGGACGGTCTCGGGAAGTCTCGGTACAGGAGGCACGTCGACTTTCTGGGGCGTTGGACTACGGCCTGCTGGCGAGGGACTTCGGAATGTGCGCTCGGTCATGGAACCCGTGCTGGGGGATCTGCGCAGGTCGGTTGAGCGACTCTGGGGCCGACCACGGCTGGCCGTCGACGAGACAGAGGCGCTGCGTCGAACGGATCGCTTCGATTGGGCTTCGGCGACATTTGTCGGGGTCGTGGGCCGCGCCTTGAGGGCGGCGGCCGCGGCGGCTGACGATAGAGACGTTGACGGTTCGCGACGCATGAATGCTGATGCGGCGGCAGTGGCCGCGTTTGGATTCGCCGTCTCCTTTGTCAGAGGCTGTTGGTCGGGGAGAGGGCCCTTGTCAGCAAAAGATCTTCGGGCGGCCTTTAGTTCTCGAGACAGTGCCAGGGCTGACGAGACAAGAAAAGGGAAAGTTGTTGGGTCCAGTTCGAGGCGAGCTAGCGAGCAGCCGAGAACGTCATGACGACACGGGGCCGGCAGCATTCCCAACACCCGGCGCGACTGATCGCGCCAACTCTAACCCAGAATGTCGCGGCAATTAAACCTGAGTGAAGCACCAGACGTACCTTGACTGGCGCTCGGCCTCTTCTAGAGCTTCCAAACATGATGGTGGATAGGGATTGGTGGCTCGCCCCTAGCGAGGCTTAGCTACCTTAGCTAGCGATCTTCGCGCATGCGATGACCAAAACGAGGCTAGATTAAACGTGATAATTAAGCAATTATTGGCAGTGGGATATTTGTGTCGATGTCGGCCTCTGTGCTAGTGATGATCAGCGCCTACCGTGGTCGAGGCTATTGCTCGAGCTGGCTCGGTGGTGGTGGTGGTGGTGATGGTGGTTGATGTTGGTGATGTTGGTGATCCGACGTTGCCTGGTGCCAAGGTGAGTCCAGGTAGGATGTGGGAATGCCTGGAAACACAAATCAATCAGGAAAAGATGTAAGCTGCACTGAGCGAGCTGAGCTGGGCTCAGATGGATGGATAGCGCCCAGACGTGGAATGATGGGCAAGAAAGTTGGCGGAGCGGCAAGATCGAGAATTGTGGCATTACCTGAGACCGTCTAAGTTAGCTCGACTGGAGGTGGCCCTGGCAGGGCCTGGGGCCGGGGCCAAGCCTGAAGCCTGGCCTGTGGTTGCTGGCACAGTGCATGACGCAAGGCTCCGATCCAATACAGCTAGTCTAGCTGTTCTGTCACTAGCGTCTGCAGTGCAAAGGCTTCGTATTCATGCGCTGCTCGCACTGTTCTCTGCTGTCGAGACATTGAACTGGGTCCCCATTGTCCATCAACTTCCTCAGCAATCTGGCCTGTCCGCATGGTGTTCATTTTGACTGCCATGAGGCATGGTATCTGATACAAGAAGTTTGATCGTGCAACGGGCGCTTCATGCGACGGAGTGTCGACGACGACAATCACCCTGACGCCGAGCGAGCCGCGCAAGGGACGGGCACGATCATTACCCGTACCCGTGCCTGTCGGTGATGACTTGCGTAGTCCGGTCTTCGGGTCACCACTAAAAAGCCGCCTGTTCCTGGCTGGGAACTTCGGCGACGTCTGGTCCTGTTCCAAACGACGATCTGCGCCGGCGGATCTAGCGCTTGAGCCGTTCCCGGTTGCGCCATCATGTTAAATTACTCCGTACACTGTCGGCACGTACCCATACCGGCTGAGACGTATCGTCATTGAGATCCTGGACATGTCGTTGACTTGAGACAACGGATTGTATTCTTGGGTTATGGATAAATGCTAGGTATGTATATTCCCCTGATGCTGAGAGCCCACTGTGGCCGCGCAATATGAAGATGTAAGTTACCAGGTAGGTTGCCGAGCCAAGCCCCACTCGAGCTTGTCGTCGTCCACCAATGTTCCATCTCGAGTAATCGAATCATTCATCATCCAGGGGTACTTGGCCATTGTGAATATCCAACAAGCGTGAATGAATCCATTGCAGAGAAGCCTCCCCACCGAGGTTTCTCCATCACACAGCTAGAGGGTGGTCGCAGCAGACCAGCGCCGCATTGCCCACGATCATGGACATATGCGTTGTGACGACCAACCCATACCGCTATGATGCCGCCGGAGGTCGTTGTATTGGCGCTGCGCGAGGTGGAGGCAATTCTCCTCCACCGCCGCCGCCAGCGTCCACTTCCACACCAGTCCTTGAATAGTCGTCGTACTCTGCCACATAGTCGTCTTCATAATCCTCCTCAGACTGCGTCGACTGCCCTTGCCCGTCGTGGTGGGGCGGTATATCCGGATCATACATCTCTTGTCGATCCAGCTGCTGATTTGGTGCATGCTGAGCCTTGCCTTGGGGTTTGCTATTCTTCCTCCCCTTTCTCCCCTTTGCCTTGGCCTTCTCCAACAGCCGCTTCCGGTCGGCTTCCTCTTGGCGCGCTCGGCGATCCTTGAGCTCGTATTCTCTTATCAAGGCCCGGGGAGGCTCGCCAAATATTTGTTCATACTCGCAAAACTCACACATCCAAAAGTCTTCTGGCTTGGGGGGGTTGTGCCAGTACTTCTCCTCCGCTATCCGCTGACGTTCGCGGGCCGCTTCCCTGAGCTCCCTGTCGAGTCGTTTGCGCTGTTGCTTACGGGACAGCTTCTTTGGTGCAGGCTTCACATGATTCCCCTGCGGTGCTGCAGAGTTCGGAGGCATCATGCCCACTGGGCCCGAATTCATGGATCCTCCCCTGGTGGTGTGGCCTGGCCGAGGTTAGCTCCAATCTCGGGACGGGCGTCTGGTCTGGAGGACATACCTGGCCATGCAATTGACCCAGGCACTTGGGAGTCACATGTGAACGTGAACTGTGTTGACGCCGGCGTAGGCTTGGTGGTTGCATTGTGCTGTTCGAGAAGACTGACGTTTTCTTGTCCCGATAGGGGATGTTTGCCAGCCTTCGCGATGGCATTGGAGATGATACCGCCTTTCGTTTCGGTGACTTTTATGACAACATTTGGATTAGCGACCTGAGCTTGTGGCACATACCGGAGACGCAAACGGGGATTCTGCTTTACCTTGATGCTCCCACGACGAATTGGCGGTCTTCTGATGCCGACCACCGGCAGACCACCAAGCATTGTTGTCTGAGATAGTACGAAGGGGACTCCTGCCATTCCTGGAACGTCCGAGACGCCCTCTGCCAGATCCTGACAGTCCAGGGCTATTTGCCCCGTAGCCACCAGACCCATTATGATAGCTCCTATCACCATTGACGTCTGCTGCTGACGGTACGCCGACTTGCGCTGATTGTGCAGCTACTTCAGCTGTCAACCCGTGAACATTACTCAGAGCCGAATCTCCAGCTGAGGGGATCTTCCGCTTCTTCTTGTTATTCGTATTCTCGAAGGAGTCGTAGCCATCGACCGAAGATGTGGCAGACAGGGAAGTCTGGGGTTTAGGATGCCGAGACTGGTCACCGTGTGCAGCCCGACCGTTCGTCCGATTCCCTTGGCCAGGTGATGACCGAGCGGCAGTCGTTACTCGTGGACCATCACCACTATGACCGGAGATGCCATACCCATCATCGCGGCGCGCGGTCCAATTCCGAGTCAGGTCTCCGCGGTGTACTTGAGACGCCGGGCCCAAAGAACCTAGGCGAGTAGTGCCGCGCTCCTCTCTCACGGTGAAGGGAGGATACTGAAACAGAGGTACCGAGTTCAATGTCGAGGACGGGTATCGGATCGAGTCGGCCACCTCAGGCGAGAGTTTCTCTCGTAATCGCCTCTTCGGCAGTGGCCTGATTGGCCGTTCAGGGAAGAGATCGGAAACGGTATCTGATGACATCGTTGGGCTATGATCTATTCGAAAGCACCATTTTGTCAGCCAGTGTACGGTGACGAGGAAGGAGCAGCAGGAAATGGCGATAGTGCTAGATTTGCGCAGAACCCGAGCATCGACGAGTTGGCTCCAGGACCATCGCGTATACCATGAGAAAGACATGATGTAACTGTTTGGATGCCCGAAAGATGCAGGGCGAAGCTCTGGGCCAGGTTACCCTTCGTGCTTGTCGATGGTGCTGAAGACTGGGAGCTGGAAGGAGGTGCTGAGGAAGGAGATTTGATGCAGTCAACGAGCCCGTACCTAAGGTAACCATCAGACATTGTACCAGCCTTTTTTCGCCCGATAATTCGTAGTTGAAGTATTGAACCGTGCCCGCACTCGTCTTGATTGTCAAGAGCGTCGGTCGATCGCCACGAGATTACGTTCACGCGGTATCCAAAAAACTTTCCCCAGTTCAGGACGGGACCAGTTCCAGACCTGATGGAAGCGTATTCTCTCGCACTATCCTACCGCAACCAAGGTCAGCCAGTATCCCACCACGTGAATCCTATCCCCTCGCAGCTTCAGAGTATGTTCGTCTGCATCGGATATCCCGTATGTATACACCAGGTTTCGTGTGCGCACAAGGCTGCGAAGCTTACCGGGAGGCTTGCCTCAAACTACACCGCGAACGATCAGGCGACGTGGGCGATTCGGTATCGACGGGGTTGGGGGTCACTGAGGGGTTGTTGGGCCGATCAGGGAGCAGGCAACACTATGCGGTAAAAGGATAGATCAAGGGCGAAATAAGGCCTCTCAAAAAAAAAAAAAAAAAAAAAGGAGATGCACTCCCGTTCTTTCCCCTTCGTTCTATGGCGTCGAGGTAGGCGAGGGAGGGTTGGCTGGTTGGAAATGCTCGATGAGGTATCGGTCGGAGTCGTGTGGCACTTGGGAGCTAAGGGGCACAGGGGGGGTCGAGACCTTAGTCATCCGCATAGACCATGACGGCGGCGACACAAGGCTGGCTTAACCTAAGCACAATGACGGCGGACCTTCGAGCCTTCGTGTGAGACGATAGATCTGAACAGGGCGTAAATTGACCAAGCGGGGAATACGTTGAGAGATCCAGGAACAATCCCATCTATAGAGTCGGTTGCAATGTTTTCATCTTCCCACATAACGCATCCAGTGCCAATCAACTTCTAAAGTTGTTAATCGCCCATGTGATAAGTAGAGCTCAGGCCATCTGTAAGAGATATATGAGATTTATAGGGCAAAGCTAGAACTTTCGCCAGACGAGCAGTTTCGACATCCTGACAACGATAGCCAGTGAGGACCATGGCGTCACTTTGTGTTCTCGCGACGTTATCTCATCCACGTGAACAGACGTCAAGAGCCCCGCATTGTAATGGCTCGTTCGGCATGGATGGCATTCCCAGGAACGAGGCAGAAGGGGGCGTTAATGCTGGCGCGGATTTCAGCACCTGGGCATTAAACCGGGTAGGCAATTCAGAGTGGAGATAAGTTACGTCTAGCGGCGGCTGAGCGCTGACCACACGCAATGGCAATCGCAGCACGCACTTCCTTCCGCGGACAGCTCGTCCGTCCAGCCCTCGTTTCCTATCCCACTCTTCCAGCAGTACGCATTCTCTTCAAACTACCCTCTAAGCGTGCTTCTACAATCATTTCTTGGGCGCTAACACGTCTCCAACCCATTATATCAGCATGCGCGGTTGTCAACTTTCACCTCGAAGCTATTACTGTTCCTTTACGCGAATCTCTTTGCACTAGCGGGCCAGTGCTGGTGATCCAAGACAAGACTCTCCACAGGCGACGCTGGGATCACTCAGCTTCAGCTGGACTCATTCCAAAGAGTTACACGAGTGTATTATTACGCAGAATTACGCTGAGAGAGCGTTGCTTTACTGCTTCACAATAGCCATCCGCGGCTGGCCTGCGCGCTCTCGTCGCGGGCGCTTCCCACCCACCTCCACCTCCTCTTCCTCCCACACCAAGCGCTCGATCGACAGATCACCGCCCGCTTCAATGGCACCGCCTTCTCCCCGACGCTCCTCGAGAGCGCGAGCCACGAACTTCCTAAGCCATCAATCCTCGACTTCATCAGGCCGCGCCGAGCGCAACCACCGAGCCAACAACAAGACGTCGTCGGGCAAGTCGACACCTAGTGCGTCCTTGTCCTCGGAACCACTCGAAGACTACGAGGACACTCTTCTTGGTCGACGACGCAAGCGCGGCCACGAAGACGAACCAGAGAAGCCCCAGCGTCAAGACCAATTAGACACAGCCCATGCCAGTGACAATGGGCAAGACGAAGAAGACGAGGCTGTGCGGTGTATATGTGACTCGGAGGACTATCCAGGGCGTCCACCCGTTGATGGGCCGGATGCCGACTTTTTCGCGGCAATTGAGCTGACAGAGGACGTTACGGGCTTCTTCGTCCAGTGCGACATTTGTAAAGTGTGGCAGCACGGTGCTTGCGTTGGCATTTTTAGCGCCGAAGCATCCCCAGACGAGTATTTCTGCGAGCAGTGTCGCAACGATCTTCACAAAATCAACACAGCCATCAATGGGTGAGTCGCCCCTCTCCGGTCACACCTACCTTACGCTGCCAGCCATTGTCCAGACACTGACTCAAACCGCGCGCACAGGCAAAAGTACTCCAAATATCTCCCGCTCCATCGACCACCGCCAGCATCACAACCTACCTCTCGAGCGACGTCGGTAAGCAGGGACCGAGGCCAATCGCCCAAGGGCTCGAAAGAGAAGAATGGACGACCGACGTCTTCACAACTAGCCGCAAAAAGACGATCTACTATGAACAGTCGAGATGCTGCATATGACGACGACCAGCTACGGCGAGCGATCGAGGCTAGCAGAGAAAACAACTCCGTAGATGGTGACGGACCCTTGAGGCGGACGAAGAGAGGGCGCAGCGATAGTGAGGAGTGAGTACCTACATTCCCGGGATTGCTTCATGTGATCTGACTCACTGGCAGGAACGTTCCCAGCGTAAAACGACAACGGACGAACTCGCACTCGCCTTCGCCGCCACCGGAAGAGCGTGAGGATGCTAGCCGGGAGCAGTCCGAAGACGAGGCGCAAGCCAGGAACGGAGCGAAGAAGACCCGCAACGGCAGACACCAGAGAACAAAATCCGAGGTGGAGGACAAGGACCGCCTGCGGCAAGAAGCAGCGAACAAGCGCAGAGGCCGCGCAGAGAGGCGGCGGGGTGACGGTAGGCCTACTTTTCTCGGATCTCTCTTGCAAGACCACCACTGACATGCTACGCGCAGATTCAGATCCATCAGAGGACCTCCCTCTGGCCCAGGTCAAGGCAGCGCTGCCCCCAGAAGAAGAGCCGACGCCTGAGGTCGAACCAACCATACCACCACCGCCTGTGCCAGGCACGCCGCCAGCCACTGTTAACAATGCAGGCAACTCACACAAGAAAGGAGCTCGGAGCAATCACAAAAAGGGCAAAGGCAAGGGACCTCCTGGCAAAGACCTTCATCATGATCGGGAAGATTCACCGGCACGACCAGCACCGCGGGACATTGCCAAAGCAGCAGACGATCCACCCGCACCCAAATCGACGCCGGCGGACAGCAAGCCTTCTGGCAAGGGGAAGGCCGGGGTCGCACACAAGATCACCATGCTGGACATGAAACGCCGTGTTGGTGCGATCATGGACTTTATCTCGCGAACGCAAGTGGACCTCGCGGCAGAGGGCAACCTCTCGTCGAGCAGCAACTCGACAAGCGGAGAAGCGTCGCCTCAGAAGACCCCTCTGGGACCGGTCACTGGCGAGACCAACGGGGGTACGCCGGAGACGACGGGCCATGACAAGGATTTCAAGGATCTGGACTGCATGCAGATGATGGACGTTTTGACGCGCGATATGGTCAAGTGGCAGAACCAATATAAATGAGGCAGCATGATATATGGAAAGAGACTGGGGGCAAGGGCGTTTTTTTTTCTTCTCTGGGCGTTTGCGGATATCTTGGCGACGAGCACAGCCGTCGTGTCCATCTTCATCATCGGGAGCACTAGGTGTTGGGAACATCACCGATCCATTACGCAGCAGCATTGCGAGGCTTCCCTGTTCATTACCTTTTGTCGTCGAAAACAGTCAGACAAATATATACCCTGTTCAATTTATTACTAGGACACAACACGGAGCTGTTGCTGTTCATTTTTCTTGGATTGGAGGTCGCATTACTTCGTGATTTGCTGTTGTTTTGTACATGGGCTCTCTCTATATGCAAGATCCTTCTTTACACTGGCCCGTCCTTCGCCTTTTTCCTCTCTTCCTTCATGGCCTTCTTGGCTTGGTTGAGACTCAGGCGCGGCTCGGACTGCGCGAGCGCGTGGGCCTGCAGCGTCTCCTCCGACAGGTCATCCAGCACGTATTTGCCCAGCTTGCCATCTCGCCAGAGCGACAGTACGCGTGCGGCGGCCTCGGGCATGTTGGGCACGCCTCCCTTCTTGAGCTTGCCCTCCTTGCGCGCCACGGCCTCGAGAAACTCGTAGACGTCGTTGGTAGGCGCGCAGTAGCTCTTGTACGATTTCGGGTCGAGTAGGTTGAGCTTGTACAGTAGGTAGTCGCACAGAATCTCGTCGTCAATGAGACCCTTTTTGATGCCGTGCGCCAGCGCGACCTTCATCATGGTCTCTCCGTCCTCGACGTAGGGCTGGAAGATGCCCGGTGTGTCCATGATGTACACGCCTGATGCGACACCGCCCTTTTCCTCCGAGTCGATGATGCGCACGGCCGTCCCGACCCTGCGGGTAACGCCAGCCTGGTCGCCCGTCTGCGCTGCCTTGGCCACCTTCCCGGAGAGGCCGTTGCTGCGCAGCGCATTGAGGAGCGTGCTCTTGCCCACATTGGGCATGCCCACTGCCAAAGCGCGGAGACCTGTCAGGCTGCCTTGCTGCATCGCCAGCTCTTTCAGGCGATCTATAAGTTTAGTCGTGGTCTTGTTGTCAGCCTTGTCCCAGAAGACGACCCGGTCGCCGTAGACACGTCTCAGCGCTTGCTGCGCATTCTTGGAGCTCTTCCCGAGGAGTGTCTTGGTATATACCACTAATCGTTCTCGACCGGCAAGCATCTGCTCGAGATGCGGATTGTGCGTCGACAACGGGAGACGGAAGTCGCGACATTCGAGGACGACGGAGATCTGGGGGAGGATGGTCTTGATCTTCTCAGCGCCGGCATGGTGATGACCGAGGAAGTATGTCTTGGGTATTGAATTGGGCGTGGGAAATGACGTGCGAGGGGCGAACCCCGTGAGAGCTTTGCTCACGCTCATCGTTCCATTGCAAGAGCGCAACTTCTCAGAAGAAATCGGCATTCGATTCTTTAGCAAGGATGGGCTTCTTGGACTTTGCGCGTTGACGCGTTTCTGGAATCGGATTTGGAAATCTTCTCACGAAAGCACGTGCCGATAAGATAAGCGGCAGAAGAGGAACGGAACGACAATGTTGGCGCAGCCAAGACGTCACTGACAGCGTCTGGCCCCTCGGGATTTTGATCTTTAGTGCCACATTCCACATCCCACAACCAATCGAGTATGCAGATCTGCGCATGTGCCACTCAAATTACACGATTAGCGAGAGGTGCATATGTTTGCAAACTGTATCGGAAGAATATGGCTGAAGCAGGTATTTACTGAGTAGGTGAAGGCATGATATTCTTCCAGAACATATTATTCAGCGTTACATACGTGGAGGAACAATGAGATTTACTGCCCTGATGCACCTCATTAAGGGGCAGGCGGTGTTGGGCAGTGACGATAGTCTTGCCGTTTTCCGGCGTGGTGGCTCTTCTGATAATGGCTCCTTGTGGCAACGAGAATTCAGTTGCATTGACCCCTCCCCCATGACGTTCGTCTCGCAGCCGACTTGACTTTGTCTTATATATATACATACGGGCTCGATGACAGCAACTACGGGGTCCGATGACCCTCACACCAATGCTACTCAGCACAGAACTACCAGAGAAGCCGTGACGAGGCGTACAGGTCGAGATATAGTGTCGACGGACTCCACGCGCCTTGACACGCCTGGCCTGGTCTGCGCTCTGGAAGACGACCACGATGACCCAGCGTCGAGGAGGGCGAAATGGAAGGGCTACTTTGGCCCAGGCGGAAACTTGAGACCGTTTCGACTGCTCAAGGTGGACTTGCTCAACCTCAGGGGACGCTGGGTGTCGGATTGGTCAATCTTCAACCAGCAAATTCTCGCCAGTTCGATTTACATCTTCTTCACAAACTTGCTGCCGGGGATCACATTCGCCAGTGATCTGTACCAGCTGACGGGAGAGTCATGGGGCACTATTGAGATCGTCTTCAGCACGGGTCTTTGTGGAATTATATTCGCAGTGTAGGTCATTTCGGCTATGAGAACGACACGTTCCTGAGGGCTGATCTCATCTAGCTTCTCAGCACAGCCGCTGACAATTTTGGGCGTTACTGGCCCCTTTTCCGTTCTGGCTGAGAACGTATATGAGCTGTCGCAGAATCAGTTTCAAGTGAGTTGCATCTCCATGAATAAAGAAAGAAACCAGCGAGCAGACCATACTCATGCTGCCAGGTCTCCTTTCTTTCAGTGATGGCATGGTCTCTCATCCACGCCGGGTGGATGCACTACCTCCTCGCCATCTTCAACGCCCACGACTGGACGATGAAGTATGTCACCCATTTCAGCGGTGACATCTTCTCCCTTCTCAACAGTGTCATCTACTTCCATAAAGCTGCCATGGAACTAAAGCGAACACACGAGAGGACAGATATGGCTGCCTTCTTGTACGCCATCATTGGTGCTGTGGGCACTTGCCTCGTCGCCATCCTCCTGTCTACCGCCAACAGATGGACACCCTTTTTCCATCGCTACGTGAGACTCGGTCTGACAGAGTACGCGGCTGCCATTTCCATCATCCTCTGGATCGGCATACCATATATTGGCGAGCTGAGGGACCTCAACCACGTCAGGCTCGAAGTCTCGACAACCTTTCGACCCTCGAGCTCGAAGCGCGAGACATTCTTTGTCGAGTTCTGGAAGGTACCCGTTGAATGGGTCTTCCTGTCCATCATACCCGGCGCCATTGTCACTGTGCTATTCTACTTTGATCACGAGATCAGCAGCATTATCTGCACCATTGACCGTTACGGTACTCGCAAGCCTGGTGGTTTCGCATGGGATGTCATTCTCCTCGGCACGACGACAATCATGTGCGGCATCCTGGGTATCCCCCCGGCCAATGGCCTCCTTCCCCAAGCACCACTGCATTCCGAGAGTCTTCTGCACTATGTGGAGAAGGAGGAGGAGAGTCCAAGACCGACAACATCCGACAGCCAAGTCCAGGAGCCGCAGTTCGTCGCGCGCACCTACGAGCAGCGGTATTCCCCCTTGATTCAAGCCGTCCTCATCTTGGTCTTCGTCTCCCCGCCCTTCCAGAAGCTGCTCGGTTTCACGCAGACTTCTGTGCTCGCTGGACTCTTCATGTTCATGGGCTACCAATCCCTGAGCGTCAATCCTATTCTGAACCGCATCGCGAATCTTCTGACGCCACCAGCGGACTTGCCACAGCTGCCAGACAAGGTGACGTGGGTGGGGATCCATGGCTACACGGTGACGCAGGTTGTCGTGACGGGTATCGTTTTTGGTGTGACGCTGACAGTTGCCGCTCCTGCGTTCCCCTTGATCATCATTGCGCTGGTGCCCCTCCGTCTGACGCTGATGAGGAAGATTTGGTCGAGAGACACTTTGCGCTTGGTCGATGGGTGGGCATGTCGACAAGGCAAACCGGAGGATGAGCCGCCTGTCGTTCCTGAAGAGACGTCGCTGCCCCTGGACGAGGAGAAGGCGAAGCATGTGACGTCTTGAGGATGGTATGATCTACATGAGGCGATGTGCGAGGTTTGACATTTTTGGATAAGACCGCAATACTAATGAAATACAATTATAGACTATCATGGGTAGATCCATCTTCCCGTCTACATTTCTGTACGGGCAGTCATTCGTGATGTGTGTGCCGTATGGTAGACCGACTGTAATCACACCTAGTTCTCAGAGTCATACAATATCCCGAGTGGACAGCCACTGACTCAGGAAAAGGCTTCCAAGACCGGACCGGAAACTCTGAAATTGGTCTTGGATCAATATCCATGAGTGAGTGTCTGAGGAACCAACAGCCGACCCGGCTCTGAATAGCTCCTCAGCGCGCGGGGTATACGCTACGCTGAGGAAGACTATAGCCGGGACTGGTAGCAACGGCTCGAGGGGAGACAAAGGTATTTGAACTACCCGACGTAAAAGAGGCAGCGTTGCCTTCATATCATCATCTCCTCTATTCACTAGCTCATCGCGTTCTTATAATTCCCCCACAATGGTACTCTCAGTTGCTGGCAAGAATGCCATCATCACAGGCGGTGGATCAGGTATGCACATTCACTCTCACTGCGAAGTGTGAACCCACATTACTAGTGTCTTACCTTGTACTAAACTACATGTCATAGGCATCAACTTGGAATTTGCCAGGCTCCTTCTCGACATAGGCTGCTCAGTCCTCATAGCCGACCTCCACTGTCGCCCCGAGGCTCAGTCCCTGCTGGACCAATTTCCCCCTTCTTCCTCCGACAAGCCCCAAGCTGTCTTCCATAAGACGGACGTCACCTCGTGGCCACAGCTGACCTCGCTGTGGAGTACAGCCCTCACCCACTTCCCCAGCATCGACATTGTGGTGCCCGGCGCAGGCATCTTCGAGCCCCAGTGGTCGTCCTTCTGGGATCCGCCCCAGTCCGAGAGCAACCCTTCCTCTGCGTCGAGGGACGACGCCAACGGCGAGCCGGGACACTATGCCGTCCTGGACGTCAACCTTGCGGCCCCCATCCGGCTGAGCCAGATGGCCATCGGCCACTGGACCTCGCACAAGCAAAAGGGGTGCCTGGTGCATGTGGGCAGCATCGCCGGGTACTGCACCGCCATCAACACGCCCCTGTACTTTGCCAGCAAGCATGGCCTGCACGCGTTTGTGAGATCCCTTGGTGGCCTCCGAGATGAGCTTGGCATCAGGGTCGGGTGCGTGGCACCAGGTAGCGTACGCGTAAGTTGTCTCTCCGACCACATGCGATGAATGTGTGACTTATATCGATCGACAGACACCTATGTGGGCGGAGGACCCAACCAAGGCCTGCTTGGTTGATGAGAACACAGTCCTCATTGAGCCAAAGGAGATTGCCGAGGCCATGTATAGCCTGGTCGTGGACGAGAACCTGGGCAACGGGACGATATATGAGTGCGGCAAGGGAAGCACGAGGGTTGTGCCTGAGTACAATTTGGATCCGCCGAACGTCGCTGGCGCGATGGTGCCGGGGTATGAGAACGCTCAGCGAGACTTGTATGAGAATCTGAGGAACAATGGCATGAAGGTGTGAGCCGGCTGGCCACATTGCATGGATGGTAGGACAGCAGAGCAGTACTGTCAGTCACTTGTGCTGGTCGTCCACTTGCAGAATGAAGTGTACATTGTGCAATTAGCAGCAAGAAACAACATTGCGTCGGTAGCGAAAGAAACTCGTGTGAACAAGAAGAAATAACATTCATGTTAGATGAAGCCCTCCACCCGGGCTGGGTATCTCAACTTCCAGTCTCTCTCTCTCTCTCTCTCCCTCCTCCGGCAAAGCGCCCCCGTCCTCTTCTAGGCTCCTTCTCCTCCTCTGTCTTGCCCATCGCGGATTTGGCGCGCCTCCTCTGTAACAGACGAAAGAATATATAACAAGAGAGTGTAACGCCCTGGACCTCGTCAAGCTCGTCCAAACGTCGAGGAAATACAGGCATGTATGTAAAGGGAACGTAAGAAAGAACACCGTATGTGCCCAAATCTTCAATTCGCACACATCTTCACTTAATGTTCTTGAAGAGATCTTGGCCCAGGCTCCCTTCGTCCTTCTCCAACTCTTTGAGCTCGGGTATCATGGGCGGCGGCGGCCCGCTGGGGGCGTGTGTCGCCGGTTTCGTTGTCGACTGCTCGAAGAGGAGACTGGACCGCTTAGGATCGCCACCTCTCAGGCGTCGGAACCACCCACTGCTTCGCTTCGATTTCCGGTCATCGTCCATCACTGAGGAGGCGCCGGTCCGGCTGGGGGGCCTGCTGCCGCCGTTGATCGAGGGGGCCGCTACCGATGGGGTTGTGGTAGTCGCTGTGCCGATTCCGCTGGGTTGCTGTCCCTCTGCATAACTGTTATTCAACAACGATCGACTGAGGAGGCGGCGGAGACCGCCCGACCGTGTCGTAGACATGGTCGGACTTGGGGGTATGTCGTCCGCTGGCCGCTTTGTCCCGGCAGGTTTGTTACCATTTGCGCCTCCTTCCTCCGCGGCGGGCTTGCCCTCGAGGGCGGCGGCCGTCTCTGGGTCCTCCAGCTTCCGAGCGGATGTCGCAGTGGTCACTGACAATGAATTGTCGGCTGGCTTCTCGACGGGGGATTTCGGCGGAGGCGGGATGTTTGTGCCGTCGGTGATGCTGCCAAAGTTGAGGTCCAAAGCGGGCAGCTCGAAGCGCGAGCTTTTCGTGCCATTGTCGACTCGGCCAGGCATGTTGATATGTAATAACCGCCGAGCGAGCTCGGTATCTGGTAGGTATTCGTTCTTTCCCGGAAGACGCGTGTGCGACAGTTTAGAGGAGGCCGACAGGGGACAATGGTCGCGAGTATCCAAGAAAAGGGGGCTGGTTGCAAGTGCTGGCAAAGGGGGGCTCTCCACGTTCTATTGATTGATGGAAAATCGATCTGCCAGTACGAGCCAGACTCGAAAGAGGGTGAGAGATCCAGAGATCCAGAGATCCAGACGCGGATGGTGGCAGCAAGCAGGGCTGCTCAAGCTGGTTGAGTGCCAAGAGACCTGGTTCTCGCTCGCACAACGCTGCAGACAGAGGTGGCGCGGTGACCGGCCAGCAGGGATGAATGAGGCTGGTGCTCGCTGTATTACTCACAGGCGCTGTCAATAATAGCCGTTGATGAACTGAGAGCGACCAGGCACTAATGAGCAGACCCTTGTCGTTCCAATTTCGACCTTAGGCGGTTGGTAGATGATACAATATGTGCAAGCAGCAGCGAGCGGAGCAGAGGTCCAATGGTACGCCGTGACGAACCGAATGGTCAGGGGAACCGAATTATACAGATATTGATGCTGTACAGCGATGGGGAGAGGAGGTAAGGAGGAGGTAAGGGATGACGAGGCCGGTAGTTCTCCCCTCCCCTCGCCTCCAGTCGAAGAATGACTGTTAGTTGGAGGTTGGGCCTCGCCCAGGCTGGGACTGGGAGAGTGGCAACGGCTCGCTGGGGAAACTTGCAAAAAGGGATAGTGGAGTCGGAGGGTTCCATGCCCAAGTCCCCTCCAGCGCCTCTTGCTAGTGTGGACACCTACTGTACCCGTCGGTCCTAACAGGCTAATGCATGCGCGACATCATGTCCCCGCCAGGTAACCCCCAAGGACAGTTCCGACCCGCTGAGGATACTTGGACCCTGCAGGCAAAGAAAAGGTACCCCGATTGCCTCCATCACTGTCTCGGCATCTAAGCAGTCTCCAGTTCTTTGGTGCAGCTGGCAGGCTTGGAAATAAAATTGAAGAGGCCGCTTGTTGAAATGCGAAGTACAGGAGTATTGAAAGGCACCAGTGGTCCTTGATCTCACTACTCGTTCTTGCAAAGCTCTGGTGTCTGAGCGCCACCCGGCAGACTACCATACCAGGGGATCGCAAGGGACTGGAAATGCGCAGGCGAAACATGTTCTCAGCAGTTTCAGTGAGGTGTCTAGTTTTAGTGCTCCGCCCTTGAAACGACTCAACATCGCTGGAATCTTAATTGGCATGTTTTAATTGTGGTGTTTGTCAACATCCCCATACCTGTTCGACTGCTTGCAAGTCTGCTGACTACCCTACACTCTACTGCGGACATACTACCTACACAGGCTACTTGCTGGGTCTTTGGACATTGCTAATGTCTTGAAGCTGCGAAGTATTTGACACCTGTCATATGGCACACTACCACATGCAAGGTACGGGGGGAAGAGAACGATCCCATTGGTCTTATGCGTGCGTGAGCCAATTCCGTGTCTATTTTTCTAGACTCAAGGCAGGCCGTGCCCAAGTTGACACTGCAAACATTAGTATTCTAACCCGGGGTGACAAATGCGAGCATCGCTGGGACTACAAAGGGACGGTTTCTTGTAATATTCTATTTGAGAACGATTCTATCGCCAATTGATGGGTGGACGGATGTTTCATCAAATCCGAGATGCCAGGTCCGATAAGATAGGGCCATATAGCCGAAAACGTCATACCACTTCAAAAGCTCTGCTGAGCTCCAACTTCACCTATTGAGCTGCAACTCACATCCCAACCGCTCGTCAAGATGGCATCTTCACAGCGTCTCGGCATTCTCCCAAGGGGCCTATTACGACCTAGAGCCCTTGCCTCACGCATCCAACCCAACGCGAGCCGGCGCAAGTCAGGTCCCTACGGGTACACCCAGGCCAAAGGGCTTGTCTTCTCGAAACCAGGCGAACCACAAGACGCGCTCTCGTACGCTGCCCCCCTTCCAAACTCTGATGCGCTTTTCTAACGCAGCACAGCCTCCACGCACACTCCATCTCTCCCAGCATCCCCTCCTCCGCCCTTCTCGCACGCACCCTCGCCGCACCCATCAACCCAGCCGACATCAACACCGTCCAGGGCACCTATGGCGCGAAACCCCCCTTCACATCGCTGATCGGCACGGCAGAGCCGTCCGCCGTGCCAGGCAACGAGGGTGTCTTCGAGGTCCTCGCCGCCCCGGGCGGTAGCGACATCCACAAGGGCGACTGGGTGATCCCCGCCAAGTCCCAGTTCGGGACCTGGCGTACCCACGCCGTCGCCGAGGCGGACGACTTTATCAAGATTGACAAGCAGGGGCTAAACCCGCTGCAGGTCGCGACGGTGAGCGTCAACCCTTGCTCGGCGTACCGCATGCTCCGTTCCTACGGTCCCAGCGCTGGCTTGAAAGACGGTCTCGGCATGCGCCCACTCGAAGTTGGCTCGGGGGCGTGGTTCATCCAGAACGGGGCCAACTCGGGCGTCGGCCGCGCCGCGATACAGTTTGGCCGTCTGTGGGGGCTGAGGAGCATCAACGTGATCCGCGAGAGGGACTCGGCCGAGGAGACGGACGCGCTGAAGCGGGAGATGTACGACCTGGGCGCGGACGTGGTCGTCACGGACGCGCAGCTGCACAGCAGGGAGTGGAGGGACCAGCTGGCCGAGATCACGCGCCAGGGGCGGGAGAAGATTGGCCTCGGGCTAAACTGCGTAGGCGGGAAGAACGCGACGGCGCTGGCGCGGTCGCTCAGCGAGGGGGGCACGCTCGTCTCGTATGGCGGCATGGCAAAGCAGCCCGTCGCCCTGCCGGTGGGCCTGCTGATCTTCAAGGACATCCGCTTTGTCGGCTTCTGGCTGTCCAAGTGGAACGAGAAGGACGTTCAGGGCAGGAAGCACATGATCAACGACATCCTGGACTTGATCCGCAGCGGCAAGTTCAAGGATGTGCCCGTGGAGGAGGTGCCCTGGCACTGGGAGACGGAAGAGGCTACGCTCAAGGACGCCGTGCAGGCCGGTCTCGGTGGATTCAGGAAAGGAAAGGGGGTGTTTGTGTTTGGTGACACATAGAGTCGCTCATTTCCAGAGTAGATGACGTGTAAGGAAGCATATTATCATTGTATATCATTGAAGATCCCCCTCACTGCTCTATGACCTAAGTGCTTGGGTCCATTCATGAAATCTATCGATCAGAACCGGCGCATAGGATGTTAGCGACGTGTCGATCAGCGATCCAAACTGCATAATCGCCTCGTCCTCGGTCAGCTCCAGATGGAATCTGTCCCGCACCTTGAGGACTGCCTTGTCCGGTTCAAGGCGAATGTCCGGTATGTTGGCGTCCACCATGAGACTGAACAGGTTGAGGATCAGGTTGGACGACTTGCGCAGCGCAGTGTACGCGAGGAAGCAGTACTCCCTGAACTGCTTGTAGTTCTCGGACTTGTCGCCACCCATGCAGTCGACCATCTCCTTGGAGAGCTTCATGGCCGGCGCAAAGGGCTTGGGGTCGCGTCCCAGGATGAAGCCAAAGTCGGCGTGGAAAAAGTGGCCGTCGGGCGCCAGCAGGAGATTGTCCAAGTGGCGATCGCCTACGCCAAGGATGTACGTGATCACGCAGTAGCCCGCACATGAGCGAACATAGGTGTCAATGGTATCGTTTCGGACACCCAGAGGCTGACGATCGTCTGGATTGTGGTGGCGCAGGTAGGCCAGGGCCGGGTTGGCCTTCCACTTGTTGACGATGCTGGACAGGCTCTGCGACTGGATGAACTGGGAGCCACCGGCCGACGTGCTCGTTGCGAGGATCTTGTACGGTGATAGCTTCAGATCGAGGTTCTCCTTCTGCAAAAGCTGGTCCATGAGCGTGATGATCTGGATGACAAGCTGGTCCTGGCGCAGGTCATCCCCTAGTTTGAAGATGACGGGGTATGTGCCTCCCGTGGCTGTTTTAAATGTGAACTTGATCGGGTTCAAGGAAGACTTGAAGACAATGACCTGGTCCGGCACGACTCCCGTCACCTGGACAGCGGGATCCAGGGGCATGGCCAGTGGCGGGTCAAACGTCAGAAGCTCGTTCTTGGGGTCGCTGATGGCGGCTCGCACCCGCTCCACCTTTTTCGGTATGGACTCGGACGACGCCTTGACTTCGCTCGCAATCTTGGAGAGGATCGCAATCATCTCCGCCTGGCGTAGCAGCATCTTGCGCTCTGCCGCGCCGCCGGGCCTCTTCTCCAGCTCGAGCATGAACTCGTAGGCGACCTTGCGGTACAGCTCGCGCGTGTCGGCGCCCTGTATCGGGCTATGGTCGTCGCACTCCACCATAAGGTACCAGTATAAGTAGTTGCCTAGCATGAAATTGGCCGCGGCGCGCTGGACCAGGAACCGAGCAAGGGATGAGTCCTCCGTAATGTCCTGCCCCGAGTTGACGGACACGTGCTCGTATTTGAGCGCTTGGACGAGCTGGAGGAGGTACAGTAAGAGCTCATTGTCGTCCGCCTTGCGAAGTCGCTCGACAGCATATGATCTAACGCCCGAGTTGTCAAAGGAGGGGCCCAGCAATTCGAGGGCATCATCCACGTCAATGGACGTCCAGCGGCCCAGGACTTGGATGGCCTGCTTCGCCTCGCTCTGGTCGGCCCAGTTGACGGACTTGACAAACTTGGTCAACGCCCGCTTGTCTCGCGTGAGATGATAGCGGAACTTCCATACCAAGTCCGTCTCCTCTGGCGACAGCACGTGGGTCGGCGAATAGGACATGATCTGGGCCAACTCATCGCGGACCTTGGCGTTGGGCTTGAGATCCTTGTCCAGGATGCCATGGCGATGTGAGCTTCGGAAGAGTCGTCGGTGCTTTGCCTCGCAAGGGTTGTCCCGGAGGCCCGCCTCTGGATCGTACAGCTTGATGAGCCGGTTGTTCAGACCCTCACCACCATCGTCGTTTGCGTTGATGCCAGGGCCGTACTGCACTTGGGGTTTCTGTGCTGCATTAATTTGCGATGCCGACAATGGTTGGTTTTGTAGGGACGACACGGGTGGGGGGTCGTATTCGTGGTCGGCGAAGACGACTGGATGGTCAAAACGCGGGAGTTCTACGGTCAAGAGGAAGCTTGCCAGACCATCGCGACCGTCACTGGAGCTAGCCTGCGCGCTAGGCGTCCCGTTTGCGTGTTCCATGTGTAGACGCTTCACCCGCTCTTGCCTACGCTTTGCCATCTGCGTTGCCTTTTCTCGCTGCTCGACGTTTCGGAAGACTAGCTGATCTAGCCAGTCGACGCGGGGTATCTCGCCCATTTCGTGCTTCTTCAGTAGCTTCTCGAGTCTGTCCATCTCCTCGGCGTCCTTGTCAACAACCATGACATCGGCCTTTCCCCTTGTCTTGCGGCCCTTGCCTGCGGTGATGAGCGCCGGCGTCGTGGTGTTTCCCAGGCCGTCTGCCTTCTTGTTTCGGTGGATGATGCATTTCTGCCGGCCCTTTTGTATGTGGTTCTCATCGTCAAACATGGGCAGGGTCGTCCCGCCGAACGGGGTGGCGTGCCCGATGGCATCTTTGCCCCCCACCGGCGAGACGTCCCAGACTGTGATGGCGAGGGTTGCGTCGGCCGGAAGCACGCTGTAGTATATCGGCAGCTCGAGCCACTGGTTCCACTTTCTTTCTGCTCGAAAGGCGCGATATGCGGTCTGCACTGGCACGGTCAGAGGCTTGGAGCCGGCCCAGACCTGGACGGTAACGTAGAGGTCGGAGTGAGGGCTCGTGTTGGAGCCAATGTATCGTAGATCCGGTCGTTCGAGGAGCGTGGACGTCTTGAGCGCCGGCTCATCCCCTTCGAGGGAAACTCTGTGTCTGGTTAGCCGTCGGCGCGATCGATAAGTGCAGACTGGATGAAGCGCGTTACATGCGGATGCTGACGGGGTGGTCAACTTCCTTGGATGCCGCAAAGGAGAACGAGTCCATCAGCCTCCCGAATTCAGTCGCCATCTTGTCATCTCATGGCGGTCGTTGATTCGTCTACGCGATTCGGACCATGGGCAGGACTGAGCGAAGAACGTTCCTCTGAGTGTTCGCTTGCAAGCGACGTGGGGGACGGAAAGCCTGCCGCCGCGCGATGGGATCGTCATACGTACCTAGCTGGGTGCCGTGTCTTATCTTATCGCAGCGTGCTGTGAATGGCGAAACTAAAAGCTGGACCAACCAACAGCAAACAACATTTTTTAGTTTGTTAACAAAAAATGAAGATTATCGTATATGCGTCCGACTATGCGCACTAATGAACATGGTATCTGTGTAACAAAATACGCCACCAACAACACCTACACCACAACCATCGCAAACACCAACACCGCCAAAATCGAGCCCTCCTGACGACAATTTATCCATACTCATTGGTGCTTCCCCTAGATATGCCACTCAAACGTCTTTTGGAAGACTTCCTTTGCGTTGCCTTCCAGGACATCACCGTGGCAGGGAATCAAGTTGACGAAATCCCACTTGGCGATGGCCCGGATGCTCTCGTTGAAGCTCGCCCGATCCTTGGCAAGTACAAACCAGTTGAACCTCTTCATCCACTTGTTGCTGCCGCCTTGGGGGTCCTGCAGACCCTCAAAATGGCGTGCGAGGAAGCCACCAGCCTGTTTCTGCTTCTCAGGCACCCGGCTGTACTGCTCGGTGGCAGGTAGGTTGAAGAAGAGGTCCGCCTCGATCAGCGTTCGGTCTGGACGGAAGTTGACCACAATCTCCTTATTGGCGTGGCCATCAACGTACTCGTAGTCAAAGTCCCTGTCAAAGTCGTCGCCGATCCTGGTGGTGCTCTTCTTGTCCTTTGTGAAGACGGTTGCAAACGGCTCGGAGCCGATCTTGGGGTCGTTCTGCTTGGCGCGCTTCTCGGGGAGACCTTCGGGACCGACCAATTTGGCGGTCGGGTAGGCTTTGAGCCATTCGGAGAGGAAGATGTGATGCTCAAAATCTAGAGCCACAATGTAGGCGAGGTTGCCGCCCAGCTCGGACACCTTGGCCTTGGCCTCTTCTGTGAGAGCGACAGGGGAGAAAACGGCTAGGTCGCCCGAGGTCATTTTGACTGGGGAGTGTCAGCATTGCGTTTCTTCATGGTATCAATCAGCAACACGTGAGCTGCTCACCTAGTGTCCCTCGACCACCGATCTTCATGGTCCCGAACCGCGAGAATGGTACTGAGAATGTGACAACGTTCGGCGTGACATGGCGCATGACCATGACGTCCGCCGGATTAGACGGAATGAGTTTCTCGGACATGATGTGCTCTTTGCGAGACGTTGTTGCAAAATGCCGATGTTGGATGTGTTGAGTAGCAAATGGCGTCGTGGTTATTGATGTGTGAACTGTGTAATGGCGACCTGAAGAAAGTTGTCGGTCGATGACGCAAGTCAAAGGTGCAATGCGAGATACCAAATTCGAGTGTCGAGGTGATGATGATGAGGCTGCTCTCGGCGTGCTAGGAGCTCGGCAGGCATTGGGCTTTATGGAGATTCAATTTTCGAGGCTCCAGAAGTCTAGGGCAGCAGGACAGATCCAATTACTCACCATTCGCATGCTTGGCGGTCTGCCTTGTAGACGGGCCCTCTGTATTAGAAATCCGAGCGAAGAACGACAGGCAGATGCCGAGGATGAGAATGCTGAATCGCATGAGGCATTGCCCCAGAATGACATCAGCCACGTCAATCGGGGTCTCCGACGTCTCCGGACTCCGGATCCCGTCCCAGGGTCCAGTCGCGCTGCTTTGTCTCATTTTCTCGGCCTTGTCCGGACTGGCGGAATCGATTCCAAAGTGGACGACAGGCTTCACATTCTCTAAAGTAAGCCGAGGCTGCTCGTGTCACAAGGCCTGATTGTGTTGTATTGATTGATGTTCTGATCGAGTGTCCCACAAAATCCCTCAAGCTGTAAGCCCCTTACAAAATCCTTCATAGATCCACACCACACCAGCCACACATTATCCACACGCTATCCAACACACCCCCTCAGGAAGGGCCGGCAGGGCTCTTCCTGCCCTGAACTTTTAAGGCTATCGCGAGCCCCTTTTCCTTCCTTCTAACGCTAATTTGTGGTGTTATAGCCGACTCGCATCTCCATTTCTGCTGGTTCAGTCCTAGCAGCGGACTTAATCAGATCTTTTAGCTCGTCCATTCGACGTTCGATAGCTAGTCGATCTCGTAGATCTTCGATCCCGATAATCGCAACGAACTTCTAATATTACTGGTTTAGCAAGCTCTTAGTTAAGCCATCTGCGATTATCTGTTTCGTTAGAACCTAGTGGACTTTAATCCGCCCTTGCTAGTATTCCTGGCGCAGCCAGTGGCTATAGATATTAACGTGCCGGAGCTTCGTGACGAGCTTCTCGAGATCGTTGGTTATCAGCTTCACGGTCTGCGTGTTATCGCATTCGATAATAACGGCATCTATCAAGCGCACCTGGAGTGCTTTGAGCAAACGGCTTATGAATATAGCTTCTCGCGCTACCGCTGACGCCGCGAGTAACTCGGCTTTAGTCGTGCTAGTCGTTACGGTCGGCTGTTTTGATGCCTTCCAGGCTATCGAGCCGCCGTATAACTATATGATGTACCCTTGAGAGCTCTTACGGTCGTTGCGATTGTTAGCAAACGAGGCATCGCTCGCATAGATAAAGATATTGATATGCGGCCTTCCTCTAAGCCTGATCCTATAAGTCCTTGTCCTATAGAGATATTATAGCGCCCGGTCTGCTGCCTCTTGGTGGCTTTGATCCGGGTTGTGATTGTGCCTTACGAGCCTAGACAAAGCAAACGCTATATCCGGTCTCGTTAATACGGCTATAAACAGCAGGCTTCTAACCTTCTTTTGATATATTAGGATCATCTTCGCGGTAGCTTATGTGCTCGATGGCATCAGCTCGGTCTCGTTTATCGGCGTATTCGGGAGCTTCGATAGATCTAGTTTAAATTAGTGAGCTATCTTATTAATATCCGAGTCTTAGGTCACCTAGATTAATCGCTTAGCTCTGTCCCTGATAATATGAATCCCTAGGAACCACTGCGGCTCTCCTAGGTCTTTGATCTTATAGCGGTCTCGAAGCTTTTATATCGCGTCTTCGGCTTCTACTAATACCGTTAATAGAAATACCCAGATAATATCGTCAACAAAGAAGAAGACGATCACGGATCCTTTCTGTATCGTATAAGGCTCTTACGGTACCCGTTAAAAGCCTTATTCCTCGAGGGCCTTCGTAAGCTCCTTCTGCCATAGCAGTAGTAACCTTCGTAGGCCGTAGAGGGCCTTGCGTAGCCGTAGCACTTATCCGTAGCTTTTAAAGCCCGGCGGGGGCCGTATGAATACTAGCTTATCAAGTATGTAGTTCATAAATACGTTTACGGCATCTATCTGCCGTAGCTCGAGGTCTTGTTCTACGGCTATCGCTATCAGGATCCTGAACGAGTTCGTAGCTAACGTTGTTGCCCTCGTTGGTAGGTCTCCTTTAGTCTATTGGTTACCACACATAACGAGTCTCGCCTTGTATTTAACGAGATATCCGTGCTTATTGGTTTTGTACGTAAATACCCATATGTAGCCGAGGACCTGATAGTCTTTAGCTTAACTCTAGGGTACCTCCTCGAAAGTCTGTTTTTGCTCGTGTGATTTAAGATAATCCCTCTGAGCCTGACGGAATTCTTGTTTAAATAGATAACCCTTGAGATCGCGATGTGTTTTTAGGGCCTCTGGTAGTTGCCGCTTGTGAAATTTCTTCGGCTTGAACTTGCGGCCAGCTGTGAAAGCGCCGTGGATCGGATCGTTAACTGGGATCGGGATGAAGTCCTCGAACCTGCCTTTTTAATCCTGTTGATCGCTGGATTGGTCTGATGATATCGGCAGCTTAAAGGGTACCTTCTTCTTCACCCCCTCGGCTCGAGCTATCGGAAGGTGCATATTGAACGCTGCCTCTAGCGGCGGTTCGAAGTCTTCTGAAGGTGGAGGCGTGATATAGACCTCTTCTAATTGCCTCGCTAGCTCGAGATCATTATCCTCTGCGATCGTCCGTTCGTGCGTTCTCTCGGTCTCTGATAGCTGGATCTGATCAACTAGCTCGTTGATGCTCGTG